GTTTCTTCCTGCAAAGCCCTTCGGGCAACCCGAGAGTTCCACTCGGCAAAAGCCTCTCTTTGGTTCCCTCCTCCTCCCCCTCTTTCCACAGCCTGTGTGACGCTGCCACCGTAGGCTGAGAGCTGCCGCTGAAACAAGTTTGGGGAGGTCCTTTGCGGGCGGCCAGTTCTAGCCACCTGCAAAGGACTTCTCCACGTTTGCTTTGAAAGAAATCTCTGCGCGGCAGTTAGAAACTGCTGCGCGGGAGTTTCTTGCCATGTGCACGGCCGCGCAGCCGCACACCTTAGAGGGAACAGTGTCCAGGACTGGCCCATGTTGCTCCCCAACCTCCTCACTGCGTGCGGCTCTTCCAAGCTCCATTTTTGCTGGCAGAAGGTTGCAGGAGGCCACTGCAGCCTAAAACATCTTGGAGCCCGTTTTTCCTGGCAGAGCGCTTAAGTCACCACAGGCACCCCTGACGTGAGTGAGGTCAGCTGACTATGCCCCCCCCCCGCATACGTCCTCCCCATGAGGTCAAACCCAGCCCTGATGCAGCCCTCAATGAAGTTGAGTTTGATACCCCTGTTGTAGACTATTGATCTCTGCCCTTTGCAGAGTTTGGGAACAAGTTAGTTTATCCTTCACTTTTAAATCAAAAATTAAAGACTGCTTAAATCATTACCTGGTTCTTCCCATGGCCAAGGGACTGAGATGTTGGGCTCCTAACCAGGATTGCCAAACCCTTGTCCAATAACAGCCGAGCCTCTTCAGGGAGCAATTCCAAGGGTAGCCCAAGCCTCACGTTCTGCCGTGGCTTCCGAGGCAATGCGCCCACCAGCACGCCGACAATGCAATGTTCCTCTCGGATCCGCCGCACATCTGCGTAGTTCCACACAAATGCCTTTCCTTCCAAGAGGTGGATTCGGATCATGCCTGAGCCTGCAACATCAGAAGAGGACCGAAGTAAAAAGCTACTCAGGTATGGAAGGTGGAAGGTTCAGCAATTCATGGGGATTTCCCAGTAAGTTTTACAACCAGATGATGATTTTTTTTTTAACACAGACAAGAACTTTATTATAGCTTTAGACACCCTGTCTCCCTCCAAAAATCTAACCCACACAAAATGCATGAGATTGAGATAAAAATACCTCCCCAGTTCCTGTAAGAGAACATTGGAGCCTCCCGTCCCAGCTCCAACCCTAAACTCAGCTATTTTATGGATGACTACATGTCCTTTATTATACAGGTAACCCTTGACTTACAATCACACCTGAGCCCAAAATTTCTGTTGCTAAGACAGTAGCTAAGTCAATTTTGTATCATTTTACAACCATTCGCAGTTAAGTGAATAACTTCAGTTGCTAAATTAGTAACACGGTTGCTAAGTGAATCTCACTTCCCCATTGACTTTGCTTGTCAGAAGATCACAAAAGGCGATCATATGATCCCCCCAGGGCATTGTAACCGTCATAACTGAATTTTGATCATGTGACCATGGGAATGCTGCAATGGTTGTAAGTGTGAAAAACAATCCTGTCACTTTTTTCAGTGCAGCTGTAACTTAGAATAGTTACTAAACAAATAATTGTTAAGTTGAGGTCCTTTATTTTCGACCTTTCACTTTTACTATACAACTGGTACTACTTCATACACACTCTTACAGCAGCAATCCTGTTTGATACTTGCTTCTAGTAATTTTACGGCTTCTTATGCTTTATTTGTATCCCACTTTTATTTATTTGTTAAAATGAACATACCCAATACTCCTTCCTCCTCCTGTTTCCCCCCACAACAACCCTGTGAGGTGGGTTCAGCTGAGAGAGAGTGATTGGCCCAAAGTCACCCAGCTGACTTTCGTGCCTAAGGCAGAACTAGAACTCTCGGTTTCTAACTGGATGCCTTAACCTCTAAACCAAGTTCGCTCCCAGTTCAAATGTTTTTATTACTAAACATACATTTTGTAAAGTTTTCTTGTTGGTTTTGCTCCTGAATTTTCCTTTGAAAAGCAAAGTTATAAACGAAGCCCCCCGCCCTCTTTATGCACCTCTTTCAGTTTTGCCCCTTTTTCTTTCCCCAAGAAAAAGACGCTCACCGTCGCTAGGCTCTCCTCTCCCTTCCCTTTATTGCGCTGGGGGAAGCGCAAGCTTCCCGCGTCCGTGCAGACCGCGCAACCTGGTCCTCTCCGACCCCCAACCCGCACCACGCGGAGCTAAAGAAATCCTCCAATCACCTTTTTGAAAGCCAACGGCCGAGGGGATGGAAAGACGCTTCCCCGAACCAATAACGCAATGCAAGCGAAGGCCCCAGGCTGGTTTCTAGAGGCAAAGTAGGGAGCGGACCAAAAAGGGAACTGAGCGGGGGGAAGGGTGAGAAAGAGAGAAGAAGAGGAAAAAAACACAGACACGCTCGCTTCCAGACACGCTCGCTGCAGAGACAAGCGAGAGAGAAGCGGCGCTCGCCGATCCTTTTGCAAAGCAAAGGAAGCAATTGCGAGAGAGACAGGAAGCCAGGAGGCGAGCGGGAGATCCCCAATCAAGGCGTGTTGATCCCAGCCGGGGAGGCGGGTCTCGCTCTGCCCTTCCTCGCCTTGCATGTCGCAAGAAGCAGAGAGATCTCCTCCCGATCTCGTCTGCCTGCCCTGCAAAGTGATCCCACTCCACCTTCCCCTTCGGGGCAGCTTGCCCGTGGCAGAGGGGGCTCCCTTGCAAAGGGTGAGTGCGCGCGCGTGGCACGGGGAGATTAAAAGCAAGGGGGAAATCGGGGGTGGAGTGGAAAACAACCCGGATTAACGCTTGGTACGGGGGCCCTAACTTCTAGCCGAGGGTTGCAACCCCGAATTAATTTAAGCCGGCTTCTTCCAACTTCCCAGCATCCTCCAGGTGAGGTGGATTACAATGCCCTTCGTCTCCAGTCAACGTTGTAATCCAGGGCAACAGGATAGAGGCGGGAAGCCAATCAAGAAGTGCTTTCCTTGAACGTGTAGCTAAGACAACTGTTGAAGAGCCAATCATTTTTATAGACAGCTGCATTAAGCGTTTTTATGTAACCCGGGATATAAATTTGGCTTCTTAAGGGACGATAGGACCAAACTAGGTTAGCTAAATCTCGATTTTAGAAACCAGGAGATTTTGATTTCTAGTCCCACTTTAGGCACGAAAGCATTTTGTGGTGACTTCGGGCCAGTCATTCTTTCTCAGCCCAGCCCACTTCACAGGGTTGTTGTGGGGAAAATAGGAGGTAGAAACATTATTGGGCATGTTTATCTCCTTGGGGGTATTTATAAAAATAATGAAGGTGGAATATAAATAAATAGGACCGCTTAACAGATGAGTAACATCTTTGTCATGCTATCAAAGATTTTGTTTCAGAAATTATTTTCTAAGATTTTACTCCAATGTTACTGAATTGTTTTATTTTGGAAGAAATGTATTCTACATCTCCTCAGAGACAGTAAATCTGAGACCCAGAGCACCTTCTGAGTGGAATGGAAGCAACAAGGAAGAATTTGACAGGCCTTAAATTATACTGTATTTATTTTTTACTGCATTGTCCTTTGACATAGAAACTATACCTCTATTTCTTTTGGAAATTTATGTGGTTGCACAAAATTTCCCTGAAGTGTTTTGCTTGTCCTATTATTTAAAAACTCTTCTACCATTCCTCCAAATTCTGTGAATATTTAACCTGAAGAGGAAATTCTCGTTTTGTTTTCAATCCCCTTTGGGCACATATCCTTGGCAGCACAAACTCAGTATTTCCCTTTAACCTCTTGGTCCATAACTTGCATTTTTGAATCATAACAAAATATCTGTCTATATACCGTTTATTCTGTTTGCCTGTACAGTGCTTTCCCCCTTCTTTGCTGGATTTTTCAAATGTAAATTTTGTTTTACATTAGTGAGTTCTTCAGAGCCAGCTGGAGAAAGGGGTGTGTATAAAATTTGTTTGAGTGACTCACAAGAGGATGTTAGATTCTCTGGACTTTCCTTCATCCAAATTGTTATCTAGTTGGAGAAGGGTAGAAATGAAGGGAAATTAACTTGGTTTCTCTGGACTTCTGATCTGCCCACGTTAGGTACATTTAGTGACAACCTTGCATTTAAAGTAAGTCGAGTCTAACATGTGGGGAGAGAAGCAAAAATTTGGGAAGACAGATGTTCGCAAGAAACAGCTGGGAGAAAGCAGGCTGGACATAGAGGTGAAGTGGCTTGTGCCAGAGGGTGTAATCACGATAACAGGAAAGAGCTTACTTTTTGTAATCATAGAGTAAGAGGTTATTTTGTAATCGTACTGTCATTTGCTGCGAAGATAATCAAAAGTTTTCTTTTTTTTTCTTTCTTTCTTTTTTTCATATTTGCTTTTTTTCTTCCTTTCTTTGCCACTTTTATTCATTATTAGTTTTGGTTTTTATGTTCTTTGTAAAACTTTTCATAAAATATATTGAACCGCACCCATCCCCCCCCAAAGGGTGTGATCACTTTCCATTACTGAGAAAGGAAGGTTTTTGTACACAAGTTCAGAATGCAGTTATGCAGGAAATTCATATTTTTAAGGATTGCAAAAAAGGGGGAAAATGTTGCTCATTCTTGTATATTCTCTTGAATTCTTCCTAACTTTTAGCATTCAGTATCCGCTGCTGCTGCTGCTTCATCTGTGGTTTACAGTGTGATCTTAAATTACTTGTGATGTACAGTATTCCTTTTTTTAGCTGCTCTCTTCTTTTCCACTTTTATGCAGTTTATTCCTGAAACATGTTTCATCAGTCCTGAAAAGTAAGATGTCTTAGACAGATATAAATGTTTCTTCTTAACACACTTAAATTGTCTTTTGCTTTTTAATACGACAAGATCAGTCTTTGGCAAAGTGTGCTTCAAGCTAATTAAAAAAGCACATATGTCCCTTGCTAGCGTGCCTTTTTCCCTTTCCTTATTATTACACAATTTATTACCCTGCTGATTCATTGCTGAAAACCATCCCAAGTGATTTCCAAGCAGACAGAAGTATGTAAGAGGAGATGTTGTACTTTTGCAAGCTTGGAGATGAAGTGATAAAAAGAAGCATTGCCAGATTTCATTGCTGATCTGAGCCATCAGAGATTGGGGGAGTGTGGGGGGTGTTGAGAGAACCAATCAGCACTTGGAGTCTTGATTGATCTGTCTTAATCTTTCTCAGTTGGGACTGCAATATTTGCTGTTGATTTTCCTTCTCAAGATTGATAGTCTTGCCTCTCTCACAAAGCAAGATGGCAGCAACTGGTTTACTTTGGTTGATTCCAAAAAGATGATGAATCCTGATTAACATTTAGATAGCCCGAGAGCTGTAAGCTACAGTGAGAAGTGGAGGATTGCCTCAGAAGAGGCCTCAGTTTGAATGAAGTTTTAGAAATCTTGCCTACCATACTTAGTTGGCCTTTATCACTACATAGGTAAATAATCACCATATCTCGCAGTGCAAATTAAATTAACAATACATTTTTATTTTTTACTTTGTAATGTTTTCTCACAAGGGCCATCTCTGCTTATTTTGGATCAACAGAGTGTTGACCAACTTGGTTGTGACAGGAATTCATCAACCAGTTTGTTGCCCAAGCCTGATGTTGTGGACTGAGAGAAAGATGACTGGCCAAAAGTTACCCAACTGGCCTTTTTTGGCTAAGGCAGAACTAGAACTCACAGTCCCCCTGGTATTTAGCCTGGTGCTTTAATCACTAGACCAAACTGGTTCTCCAAATTAACCACACATTTTACTGAAAATACTTGTTTTGGGCCAGTAATGGTTTTTAAATCTGTTATTAATCTCTTATATCAAAATAATAATCCCTTTTCCCTGTCATCAAGTTCTCAACCTCAGGTGGTCTGATCTACCTTCTTTACTTTTCTGTATCATGTGTAATTTATATGCAATCCAAAACCAGTAGACCACTTCCTATTTCCTTCTTCATCTCTTCTTTCTCAAAAATAAAGTGCAGGTGTCACTACCCTGTGCTCCGGATTTCCAATGCTTCTCACTTTGATCCATGCAGATTCACCTAACTCTGTAATTTCTTGCCAGCTACAATGTCACCTGATGAGATTGTCTACTTGGCGGTCCTTCTCACCTCTATACCTGTTGGTTTCCTCTTCAAACAAGTTGGTAAGTGTGAAACCTGGAGAAAGAAATGCTGCTAGGCACCTCATAAGAAACTGTCCCGGGGTTCAGGTCAAAAGGCTTTGCCGTTAACTCCTTGAAGGGCTTCCTGGTTTGAACAAGTGAGTTGTGAGAAACACATCTCCAAAGGAACTCTGAGAAGATGGGATATGAGATGGAGTCAATCCTTTTAAATGGAAATGGTGAGAAATAATAATACATGGCTCTGCATATTGCATATTGACTTATGATCAATGGCTTAGCAACCATTCCAAGATATGATCGGGTTCCAAAATTCTGACAGCCACAGAGTTCCCTCCCCTGGTCAAAGGAGTCTTTGTTGGCCACTCAGTAGCTGACTCACATTTAAAACCTTTTGCCACATTCCATGGCCACATGATACTGCAGTTTATAACAATTTTGCTGAAAACTGAAATTTCCAGAGATTTTGGCAAAAATGATCCACAGCAAACAATGGATTTGTTTTACAGCCATTGCATTCACTTAACAAATGCTGGGGAAACAGATTGTAAAATCAGGTCAGTCACATTGGTGACCTGCTTTGCAACCATCATGACTTATGACCATAATGGGCAGATTCCATTATGGTCATTCGTTGAGGATTACCTATAGATACATTCCTGGCTATTTGCCATGATCCAAGAAGTCTCTTGGATGAGAAGTGAAATATTTTTAAAGGAAAACCTAAGGAAGTCCAATCATCTTTTGGAAAAATCACAACCATGAGTTGGGTGATTGAGAATCTCCATAGGCAATTTTCTAAGTTTTATTTGATGTAGATTCTTAAAAACTGGAGCTGGGTAGGTTGTATATCCAGGCAAGCAAATAAAGTATGCCTCAAACTGTGCATCTTTAAACAATGGAAAAATGTGTTCCTCTCTCTCTTTTTTTTTAATAGGTCCAAAGACCAAAAAATACGGAGCAGCTGTTGTAGGAATTATACTTATTCTGGTGACTTGCCACATTCACATCCTTCATTCTCTTATCACCATACTGGGTACATGGCTTATTATCAATATCTCACCAAGGTAAAGTGACTTGAGAACTATTGAGGCTGTAAGATAGACTGGCAGATATAAAGGCATGCTCTAAAAAGCAAAGATGGGATTATACATTTTCCAATTTTCCTAAAATCTAACTTAGTTCCTTAGATGATGATAAAGATCTAATGGTCATTTCAGCAAACTGGTTGAATAAGAAAGGGAAAAGAATGCAACTTCGTTGCCCTGCCATTATCTTAAAAGCAATTGATGTCTCTGTAGAGTGTTCACACAGTGGCTTCCTGATTTGTGTACATTGATTGCGCCAACGTGACCAGATGTGCTGGTGTCCTCAGGTCTTGTAGTGCTCTCCATAGTGTCTCATCACAATCAACACAAAGGGTTCGTTGTAGTCAGTGAAGCCCTTGATATTTTGATATTCACGAGATTTTTCCATGTGTAGATTTGCAAAATGGCCCCTTCGAAAACCATCTTGCACATCTGGTAACTCCAATCTGATGGTTGGTGCTGTACATTGTTGTATAACTTTAAGCAGAATCTTGCTGATGTGAGGGATGAGGGATGAGTGCAATTGTTTGATAATTGGAGCAATCTTTAGAATTGTCCTTTTTTGGCAGTGGAATGACTACTGTTTCCAATCCTGTGGACACATGTTGGTTTCCCAAATTTTCTGGCACTGGTCTCTAATGTTGATGGGTGGTGCAGCCCTCAATAATTCTATAGGAATAGTGTCAACACCTGGAGTCTTATTGTTTGGCAGCTGGTTCATTGCCCACATGATTTCTTCCTCAAGACTGTCCGGTTCTATTTCTACTTCTCTTTCCTCATCCTTCTGAAACTGGGCCCCTTTGCTACCTGCTTACAGCTATTCTGTATATTCTCACCATCTGCCCTTGATGCCTTTTTGGTCAGATAGTTCTTTCTCTTACTTGTTTTAATGATGCCTTTACGAGCAATAAATGGTGCTTGGATCTTTTTAACTTGCATAAATGCAGCTCCTTAGATTTTGACTAATTCGCACATTCTGCTAACCAATGATTTGCTCAGTTGTGGTAGGTTATAATTTTTTGGTTTACATAAAACTGTAGGCCATGATCTCTATTTTTGCAGACCTATGCTAAATCAAAACCAAAACCAAACAAAGCACACCTTTAATGCTTAAACTCAATCTTAATGTTAGGATTTCTGGTTTCTAAAGGCTATCTATACCCTTAAGTGTGCAGGATCTAGTATTCAGTCCCTGGTGGTGTTCAAATAAACTTGGCTGAAACAGATTAAGTAGTTTCCACTCGCCACATGATCTCAGCAGGTTGGCTGGGAAATTCTGAGAGTTGCACAGTCCATAAATCTTAAAAGTTGCCAAGGCTGAGAAACAGTGAGTTAGAAGAGTGGTAAGTGTATGTGGGTCAGTCATGCAAGGATACCCATGTGTGCTTTTGAAACTGATGTAGAAAAGGGATTAATAATTACAACCTCTCTTCTTTTTCTTTTTCTCTCTCTCTCTCTCTCTCTTTTTTAAACAGGGCTTGTCATCACCTGACGCTGGGATGGACATTTTCCTACTTACTTTTTTTCCGCACAGTTACTTACTTCAACTATCCAGAGCCAACACCATTCACCAATGCTGTGCAACTTTTGCTCACTCTTAAGGTATCAGGTTATTTTGGGGATATTGAGAAGGAAGGGTGTTTAGCTTGAAGAGGAAGTAAGGTTCTTCTTTCTGTTTTTTTTTGTCTCCCAGCTGCTGAGCGTAGCCAATGAGGTACAAGAACTCATTCAGGCGAAGAAACAGGAAATGACAACCTTCACCAAATCTCCAATGATTGGTACAGTTCTCCAAAAACCAGGGTTGGTGGAGATACTGTGCTACAGTTACTGCTATGTGGGGCTTATGACAGGTAAAATGAACTGCCTAATAGAAAATGAAATAGGTCTACAGGTATAAACACACCTGTGAGGCATTTTCCCTTTGACAGCCTTATGAGCAGTGGGTTTATGGGCATTTTAAAATGTTGGCATCTTCTCACCACATGTATAAATACCAAGAAGAAGGAAATTATTGGGCTGAAGAGCTACTCTTTATTGTTACAATTTCTTTTTAAAGGAAAAGATAGTTAAGAGATCAGAGCAAGTTGAAAATTATAAAGCCCGTTCCAGTTTTGCCTTCTCATCTACTTCTCACATCAGCCACCTATTGCTCTTGGTATTGTGCCTGGTCATTGGGTGGAAGTGTGGCCTCTCGTAATTTTTTGCAGAAGTGTGGTTTCTGCAAGAAACTACCTTGCTGATCAGACAAAAATAGCTATTTCTTCCCTCTAGCCTACACACTTCACTTTTATAGCTTCTCCTTTTTTGTTTTGTGAGAATTTCATGAGAAATGGCCATATACTGATGCTTCAAACACGAAGGCAGGAAATTACACCAGAAATAAGATACCAGGCATTATGGTTTTCTTTGCCAGTTAATGCCAGAATCTGCAGGAAATCATAAAATTGTACAACTAGCAAATCCTGCGTGCTTCCAAATCACACACAACCTTAACCTCTCAAGTCTATCCAAAACAAGCCCTCAAAACATATTGCATACTGTCTCTCACAACTCTCCACTAAATTGCACCAAAGACAAATTCCTTGCGTGTCCAATCACACTTGGCCAATAAAGAATTCTGTTCTGTTCTATTCGATCTGCAACTGTTCATTTAGCAATGAAAATTATAAAGGCACTGAAAAAAAGTTATGACTGGTCTTTGCACTTACGACCGTGGCAATGTTCCCATGGTCCCTTGATCAAAATTCAGGTGCTTAGCAAAGGGCATGTATGCACAGTAAGCACCCTGGGGTCATGTCATTCCTGTTTTAGACCTTCTCATTGGCTCATTGATTCCACAAGCAAAGTCAATGGGGGAAGTTAGAGTTACTTAATGACCTGGTGTTTCACTTAATACGTTCAGTGATCCGCAGCAAAACATGGACATGAAATTGGACATGACTCACTGCCTTGCTTAGCAATGGAAATCCTGGTCCCATCATAAGTGGAGGACAACAACCTGTACTGGCTTTGTAATAAGGAAAATAATGTGAACACAACTAGAGGAAACCAGGTTATGGAAACAGTGTCTTATGCAGTGGTGGGATCCTGCCAGTTTAACAACCAGTTTGGTGATCGCTGCAGCACTTGCACAGTTTAAATAAATCTTCACTTCCGCGTTAATTCGGGGGAGTAACACCGCTGAGGTGTGGCAATGCTGCTCTGCTGTGCAAATCAGCTGAGAAGATAAAAGTAGGAAAAGAGAGCGTGTGGGTGAGCCCATCTGATCATCGGAGTGAACCGGTTCACTCTCAGCTGATCGTTGGAGCTACCAGTTCACCCGAACTGGCCTCAACCCATAGAATCGCACCCCTGGCTTAAGTAATTCAACTGTATGTGTGACACTCTCACTTGTTTTATTTTTCTTCAGGCATACTTCTCCCTCTGCTTGTTGATCTTAAAATTTCATTGTTTCCTGTTTTTGTATCCAGGCCCATTTTATCGCTACCGTACGTATCATGACTGGTTGAGCCAGATTGATCCCTCTGTTATTCCTAGTTGGCGGCCGATGCTTTCCAGATCCAGAATGATCCCCATCTTTGGGATATTTTTCCTGGTTGTCTCCCACTTCTTCCCCCTTGATTACGTCCGAAGCGATGCCTTCTACGAGAGAGAACTCCCTTTCCGCCTCTTCTACATGATGCCCATTTTCTTTGTCTTCCGTATGCGTTTCTATGTTGCCTGGCTTTGCGCCGAGTGCGCCTGCATTGCTGCTGCTTTTGGTGCCTATCCAGTCACTGCCAAATCTCGGTCAGGTGGAGGACCTACAGTGGAATATGAGCCTTTAAGTCAGTAAGTCAGAAACCTCTTCTTGGCTCTGCCGTCTCTGAAATAAGTTTGCTTTTTTCCACGCAGCATTAATAACAGTGAATTGTTACCACAGGCTTCCTAAAGAAGAAGTGCTTTCCTTGGGCTACCTCTCACCATAAAAACCACCACCATTACTTGTACTTGTACTTGACGCCTCTTCACCCATCGTGGGTATAGGCGACTTCCATGGAAATTTGACGCCACTGTTTTCGGTCCTGGGCTAGGGTTGTCAGGTGGTGCTGCACATTGAGGCAACCGATATTGTTTAGCCCTAAAAAGGAATGGATACGGCGATCCATGGAA